CTTTCCCTTGTCCTCTCTGAAGGTAGCCTTGCTGTAATGTTTAGATTTGCTTCTGCTTCTTCTGCATCTTTGATAAAATCTATAATCTATTTAGGCCACTGCAAAATAGGATAAATTATGTGTTTCTTGACAAAAATCATGGTAGCTCTGCTATAGGAGAGGCTGCCTGCAGGGGGTTCTGGCAGATACATCTGTTGGAGGCTCTGTGGGGCTGTAATAGATAAGAGATGGATCTCTGAAACATCCTCTTGGCAATGATCCTGTAAATGCAAGAGAAGCTCAGGCTCATGGAGAGCTGTAAGGGCTTTTTGGCAGCTTTACGCACAGGAATGATCCGGACAGTGTAAAATCCTGTTCCATGGGAGCTGTGGAATGGCTAGCCAAAATTTGCCATGTATAAGTTAAAGCATTTTGTATGGAAAGTTCTGTTGTGTTCAGATAGTGGGGCTGATAAATAGGTTTGTAGAACCTCTCTTATCAGTGGCCACAGACCATCTTTACAGAATAGTGTTTTCACGTTTCTTTCATTTTTAGCTATGCTGTTCAGCTTGATTTAGAAGTCAGGGAGTCTTTATAAGAAGTCATTTCAAACCTCTTTATGGTCAGCGAAGTGATTCACTATAAACATGCTGCAATGAAATGACTGACCTTTTTTTTCTATGCCTGTCTGCATTTCAAAGCTGATAAAGTGGGCAAAGTTCAGTTTCTTAGGCTTGTGTACTTCAGTCTGTTCTGATCTCGTTATGTTCAAGAGGTATTTAAAATGACAATACTCAGTGCTAGGTATGTCCTATATCCTGCGGTGATCCATTTCCTCCCGTAGGTAATGTACATTGTTCCTGCTCCTCTGACGAGGCCATTGGATCTGACCCCATTTTATGTGATTTGTGCTCTTGTTATGTGCAATATGCGAACCAGAAATAAGGGAAGATCCTTTGGGAAGCCTGCATGTGGAAAAGGCATGCTGAAATTGCCCGGAAGGATGTTAATTGTGATGGTGATTTGTGGTATGGCATCCCGTCTTTTAGGAGCTAGATCAAAATCATAAACTTGTCAGAGAGCTGTGGAAAACCATCATCTGGCAATCACGCTGGACACTCCTGATTTGGACACAGCCTGAAACGGGGATCTAAAATTGAAATCATCCTTGTCTTGTCCTTAACTCCCTTTCATGAAATAGTATAAATTTTTTAAAGATACGCTTCGTAATAATGAATGTGTGGAAATACACGTCAGCTAGAGCAGCTTCCTTTCTGATTGAAATAAGGCAGGAAGCTTGTATTACTGGCTTGCCAGTTTGGCCAAACACAGTAGCTGAGCGTAAACAACAGCTGAAGGGAGGTAGCCAAAATGCAGCAGAAAATATTCCACAAAAAGTAGCAGCACGGTCTTGAGTAGTGCTATGGGCAGGTGTTGGAGGTCATCTGGAATCTTTACATAATTGAGGATGTGGAGAACTGAAATTAATTTCCTGTAAGGCCTCTAATGTTCTTGGGAATGGAGTTCCTTTACTGAGTAATGGCAGGCAGAGATCATGGCATGGGTAGGACACAACAGGCAGTGTCAGATTAGATTTTCTTCAGAAGCCAGTAAATGTATGCATGCAGTGGTTCTTAATCAGTGATGAGAATTCTTTTTAAACGTTGTTCTGTTTTTATGTTGGGCAGCCAGAGTGCAAAACCAAAGAATTCTGTGTAAACAAGCTGGAGAGGAACAATAAACAGACTGGTTTAAATCTGAAGGGATGCTTTGACAGGCACAGACATTAAAGTGGTGGTTTTGTAGTGCCTTTAAAAGCCTCAGATGAATGTTGTAGCTACCTGATATGGCTTCCTAGATCACTAGCTGAGAGACAGGGAAGTGGGCACGGGTTGCTTCTGCTGAAAAGGAGCGCCAAGGAGTGCTGTAGCCTTTCTTGAGCTCAGCTCATGGTTCTCAGGACCACTGAGCTCCAGCACTTATATTCAGGATGAGCCTGAAATCCTGCAGCCTGCAGTTGTGGAGTCCCAAGTGCACTGAACAGGGGTGTAGGTGGTAGTTCAGTCCCTACCATCATATTTTGGACCTGTCATGGGTTGCCACGGCTGTTTAGGAAGATCCTGAACAGCTTTGGCTGCATTAGTAGCTTTGGTAGCTGAGCGTGCTGCTTGAGCTTGTAAAGGAGCGGCATTCCATCTGAGCTGGCATTCTCTGGGGAGAAGCACAGGCCAAGTGTGTTCTTGGTGTTAGTTGGTCTTTTTCCCCTACCTATATCCAGAGATCTCTTAGACTTAGGCTAATATAGTGTATGAAGCTAATTGTAGCTAGAGAGAAACTATCTTCTTAATTCATACTTTCTAGATCACTCTATATCTTATTTCATCAGGTGTACATTCTGAAAACCCAAAATGATGTATCTTGTGATTGTACTCCTAGTACATCTGAGACACGGGATGTCATCTTTCTAGCAAAAGAGATTTTTTTTTTTTTTATCAAATTATTAAGTTTATTTCTTAATAGCTCTTAAGTTTTTGGTTAGAATAGCTCATATATTCATTTAAGTGAACTGCTTTGTTTGTGGGTTTTTTCTTTGCTATACTTCTATTATCTGTCACATATAACAGAGATGTATTATGACCATAGAGCAAATATAGTAGAAAAGAAAAAAAAAAAACAAGTAGTGTAAGTACTAGTCATTGTTACTGTATGCATTGAAAAGTCCATCACATCACATTAATGCTGCTAATATATCACGACACATTATATTCCTCATTATCACCTTCTTATTTTTTAAGAAGTTGAACTCTTGCAGCAGTGGGTCCTGCCTCTGCGTAGTTCTCAGAGCAGCGAGAAGGGTTTAGTTAATCCTTGGCACTTCCTGTCCCAGAATTCTACTTTGTTCAAGATATTTTCGTTTAAATTATTCTTTTTATGGAAATGACTCTTGAGTTTTCCTGTATGCCTCCTGAATTATGTTTCCAGGAGGTCTCTGCTGCTTTTCCAAGAATAATTTGACTCAGTTTCCACAAAGAAAAACACTTCTTCAAATTTATGTATGCAATTTTTTTACAATGGAAGGGTGCAGTAGGAATTGCAGGTAATAATCATCTTTACTGTTTATACACTGCAGTGTTTGCATGAGTTGGAAAGCCCACTGCTCAATTAATTTTTGGGTTAAAACCCCCATATATTGAGGCTAATAGTAAAGCTAAATAAAATCAAGAAAGAGGATTTTGGCAGGTGCTGATAAAGGCGACTTCTCAAATGGGGTTTGTGCCCTCGGAAAAAAGAAATGGATCTTGTTCTCTCTCATTGAGGAGGAAAATCATGCTTCATTTGGCCTGTAGGATTAGAGCAGGAAGGAAAGGCTCTGAAACTCACTAATAGGGGGGATATTTTGGTTGAAAGTCTGGAATGCATTACAAATTCCTGTTGTGTATATTTCAGGATTCTCAGATTCGTCAGAGTACAGCTTACAGTTTACATCAGCCTCAGGGAAACAAGGAACATGGCACTGAACGAAATGGTAGTTTGTACAAGAAAAGTGATGGGTAAGTACTGCTGGATTCTACTGAAAAAAAGCTAGGTCCTAAGAGCTGAAGCAATGTAATATTAAATACATTAAAAACTGAGTCACACTTTTTTTTTCTTCCCCCCCCTTTAAACCAGAATCCGAAAAGTGTGGCAGAAAAGGAAATGCTCAGTTAAAAATGGTTTTCTTACAATTTCCCATGGTACAGTAAGTATTTGTTTACAGTATTTTATGTACATGGTTGCTAATACAAAAAGGCAAGCTATGCTGGTCTATATTTATAATTTGGAATTATCTTGATGCAGTGTTTTGAATATGATGGATATGGTTTTTTAAGGCAGTCTTTCAGAAATATATCAAGACATACACAGTATCTAAAAATACAACTGTTTTAATGCTCATGACTTAATGGGGAAAAAAATAGCTTTTTTTAATGACTCGGTTTGTGTAAACTGTTCATATTTTACCAGACTATCTAAAAATGCAAATTCTAACTTTGTTTTTTTGGAAAGACATGATAGGGCGTTAAGCCATCTTTTCTATATTGGTTATACAACTTTTTATATTTACAAGACAAAATGAATCTTTTCTCTCCCCCAGACTTGCTGCTATCTGGTAATCCGTTATGAAGGTAGCTTTCCTGGGGGAGTAGCTGTTGGGGAAAATCAACTCTGAAGGCAATTTCTACCAGAATGACAAGAGATAGGGAGTTAAAGTCCCTCTTTCTTTGCTACCAATATTTTAAACACATTAACAAACTTTTACTATTTATGCTTAAAGTTTTAAAACTTTATACTTTCATATTTTGGACCTTTTGCACTTGGCTTTGAACTCAGCTGGTTTTGTTTTCCTGTAACTTTTCTCTTTTTATATTGCTTCCTCAAAACTTTCTTAAAAGTTTCTTAAGGCAAAAATCAACTCAGTGGCAGTAATTCCCATTCTTGCTCTAATAAACAGTCCTGTTTCTTGATTCTCTTATGAACTGTTCTGTTCTTCATCCTGTTATGCCTGTTGCTATGACTACAAGTTGACCCTGGCAGCAAGAATGAATCAATCTCTCATTTGTGCATCTAACCACAAGCTGTTGCCTTCTGAATTGACTATCAGGAGTTAAGGAAGAGTGCAAAGCCAGGCCTGGCTTTGGAATTGTCCACCAGTTTATCCCTATTCTCATTTGAGTGCATATGAGTGCGTCTTTGTCAGAGAAGAGTCTATTAGTGTTTCTATACTGGTGTCTCCGTGTGCTGTAAATGCGCTCGGCATTGGACATGCTGTAGTGGTACCAGTAGGAGTGTAGCTAGGGCAGCTCAGAGTTGGCAGAGGCTACAAAATTCACTCGCGGAGCAGAATTTTAAAACTTTAACATGCAAGTACAGTTACTGAGTCTATCGAGATACTGTTGTTGTTCTCATATTATAAGCTATCTACCAGATGGTCTAACATTTTTAGAAGCACTAAGTTCCCACTGAAATCAGCGGAGCTGTAGCTGGAAATCAGTTGCTGAGGTAGATACTTAAATGTGAGTTTAGGTATGTGGTTTTCCCAGGTTTGGTCTTGATCTTTTTATATTACAAAATTAAGACAGTACTTTCTTGGTTTAAAATACACTCCTAAAAAGTATTTTTACTTATTTGCTCACTTTCTCCTTATTGATGGCAGTTTTGTGTAAAAAATTTATACTTGTTTCTTAGACATCGAAATGGGTAGAAGTGATTTCTGTTTGTTAAGAATTTTCTGGACTGCTCTGAAGACTTCTGAGACTTCTGAAGCAACAACATTGATTTCCAAGCTTTCTCAGGGTTGATATCTCCTGGTCTTTAAAATATGATGTGTCATTTTTCTCTTCCCAGGTGTTCATCAAAATGAACCATCTCTCAGAAATTTAGCTGACAGTTTTGTTGTCTTTATCAAATACAATTTCATAAATGCTTTTCCTTTAAAGGCTAAAAATTCTTCATGGATTTCTGTTCTTTGGTCATGTAGTCTATCTTTATGAGGGACTATTTTTTAAGTTAGTTTCTGAAACAGCTATCTCCAGGCACTTGCAGATGCTGTATTCTGACTTAAACTTGCCTGCCAAGTGTTCTCCTGATATGGATGGGGAGAATATGGTTTGTTCTCTGTCAGTCACTCAGCTGTAACACTGAATACACGTGTCTGCATTTGCATATGTACAGAAATTATACTTTTAGACAACTAAAAGCTTCAAAGAAATTAGCATTCATAGGGCAACGTGCAAGGTAATGGTTGATGGAAAAACAGACACTGGTTTTTTGTGTAATTATTAGCAGTTGGATATTTTCTGACATCTACCTGACTGCAGTTTAATGCACATGGATGAAAAAACAATGATAGAAGCAGATTGAACCATGTAAACAGGAATTCCTAAGTGGTTTCTGGATGAAGAAGTCACAAGGGAAAAACTTACATTTGAGGAACCCTCAATTCCTCAAAGTTGATTTGTGTTTAAAGAGCTTAAATGGAATTTGCTGGTTGTCTGCATAAAAGGAGTATGAGATATTCATCAAGGAATCTTTTTTTGTTGTTCTTTCTTTACTTCTGGAAACTTTAATCTACCATTATGATTAACAGGACCTTCTGAAGGCAAAAGAATCAGATTTAATCTTTCAATTCTTAAGTAAATCACTGTGATATCCAGAAAAAAATGCATGATGAAATCAGCCAACCAGTCTGTTAAGTATGTGGACGCATTTGCTGATGCCGTCTGTAAAAATCAGCTCTGTATCATAGTATGCTTCAGTATTGTCTTAGAGGCCTAACCTTTTGATTCTTATACTTACTGTTTGTTGCTAGAACAGATTATAAGTCAGTTTTGGTGGATGGAGGGTTACTGTTTCTGCAGGAAAGAACATGAGTAGATGCTGAAGTCTGCATGTATGGCATGAAAGGTGCCAGCACATCTTTTCAGGGATTGGTGTGTTAACATGGGTGTCCAGAAATTCAGTAGTAGGCTGATATTTAATTGCCTAGTCAGAGACTCAAGGAGGAACATGAAGTTCAGAGGTTTCAAACAAAAAGTGTAATAGCAGTTACACATTTGTTACCATTTTCTTCTTGTAGTGTCTCCTAATCCTACCAAATGTCTGGATCCACCTAGAGCCTAGTGTGGCTAAGGAATTTGTACAGCTTTGTCTCCCTTTGTCTTGTGGCTCTAACTTCTCCCAAAGCAGTATCCACCGTGTGATGGAAGCGCATTGTCTGCCAAGTAATGGGCATGTGTTGGGGAGGTGGGTGGGGAGAGGCTGTTACTTGGCTACAGGATGGAAGTATGAATGTGATGATATCAGCCACATGCAAAGGTGTCAGGGTTTTTTAACACCCTTGTTAATGCTGACTTCAAGTTAGGAGGTCCTCAGTTAAAGGCTTTGGAATATGTTTGGATTCCAATATCAGCACATTGGCTCAGGATGTGTTTTAGGTTGTTGCAGTCATTTCTTTTGGTTCTTGGATCCTGATACAGAGTTCTTATGCTGCATTCTCCTACCAAGAGAGATGAGTTCTTTGTATATTGGTCCTTCAGACCTCTTTGAAGCATTTTAGTGGATCCATTTATAGCTTCGTATTTCGTAAGTTACAGAAAACTAGTTAGGTCCTGAATGTGCTTCAGATCTAACGTCCCAGGGCAAGTGGATTCTTCCTTAACCGGAATTTCCTTGCATTTTTTTACATTCTCATAGAGCCTGTGAGAAAGTGTGTAGGAGTTACCTAGTGGCTTCTTTATCAAATACTTATATTTTGATTTTTGTTTGCTTTATTTTATATTCTTGTTTTAGGCAGCTTCTGGACACTTCTTGGACAAACAGTTACATTAAAAATATAAGCAGTGGAAACTTTAGTGCTATGGTTATTATGTACATTTAAATACAACCAAGAAAACGGGCCCGAGCTGGCATTTTCAAATGTTTTCTCGTATGCTTCTAGTTACAAAGAACTCTTGTGGATAAGCTAAAATAATGAAAACTGTATGCACTTTTACTGCTAAAAGGAATGTCTGGAATTTGAAAAGTTATTTACTAGGCAGAGAATACGATGTGGTTGTCAATTAATTGTCATCTTGCTGCCTCCAAAACCTCTCTTGGGTGCAATTTATTTTACATTGCCTAGCAAGTGACCTGCAGGTTTCTTGTTACAAAGCATGCATGACTTTGTTATGTCTGCTGCTTATGTTGGGCAAAGCATGAGCATGCTGTTTTTCAAGGACATCATGCTCCTTTTTTTTTTTTTCTCCCCTAAAGAGGAGGGGGGAAAAAAAAGGAAATACTTCACTTCTGTTTCTCCATGGTTTTGATTTTTTTACTGGTCTTCAGATATAATGATGATGTTGTTCTTTTATTGGCCAGCAACATCGTTTTATCAGATGTTTTCAAAGAAATATGTATTCTTCAGACTTGTTCACCCTTCTTTTTTGAATGAAATGTTTTCATCAATAAATTTAGAAGAGATTGAGAAGATCTGTGTTTCTTATGATTCATTGCAAGTTAATTACATTATGTGATAGTTCAGCTTCATTTGATAATAGCTCTTGTTTAGATGATTAAATCTTGTTTTAGCAACTTGATAGATTAAAGTTGTTAAAACACAACGTGTGGTAATATGTTTACGTATATTGCTATCTTTGTAATAGTACTTTCCCAATGACCTAAACAAATTATTTTTTGTCAGATATTATTGTCTAGAGTTATTGCTTCTCTGGTTAAATCTCTCTATTCCCTCTCTAGTTAAATCTGCTTTCTGATTTAATTATTCTAAAAGAGTGAAACTAGTTCTCCACTGTAGCAAGTGCAAACCATTCCTCAAGTCAAGGTTGCAAACATAACGTCTTTCTAGGTCCTGCTCCAGGTCTGTAGGAGAGGCAGGTTAAAGGAAGTAGTGATAATTAAAGTGATTTTTACCCCTCCCCCCTTTCAAAATTCTACTTCCTATCCAGTTACCAGTGAACAAAATATCCAAATATAGGAAAATGTAGTTTACAAACCATGATGCAGAAGAAAACATAAATAAAAATCTAGATATCTTAAAAATTAAAGTAACAGCTGTTTGTCAAGTCTTTTTGGCCAGTGGGATGTTATCCTGTGTTTTCAGACTGCAGGGCTCAATCAGTATCAATATACTAAAATGTGTATGCTTTATCTTCAAATAGGCTAACCGACCTCCAGCAAAGCTCAATCTGTTAACCTGCCAAGTGAAAACAAACCCTGAGGAGAAAAAATGTTTTGACCTCATATCACGTAGGTTTGTTGTTTAGCTCTTTTTACTTGCCGCTAATATCAGAGGGTTTTGCGTTATTTCTGTAGATATGTCAATAGTCCACTTAAACATTTTTGCAATTGTAGAATGCTTCCCTTTATAAAATGCCCTTCTTATGACAATTTACCATTTCAGTTACTTTAGTATAATGCAACTAACTGAAACTGTTTCTTGGGAAAAACACTTGTTTTTAAAGCTTTCTTCTTCGTTTTCTGCTGCAGCTTTTTTTCCTGTGGCATCACTCTTTATATTGAAAATGTCATAGCTGATTATCTTGTAAAGTTATGACTTTTGTACAAGATCAAAAGAAGATTTTAAAGCATGACAAAACTTCTTAACATTTAAGCCTAGTGGTTGCTATGTAACTGAAAGAATACTGAAAAAGTTTTTAGTTTTATTATCTCATAACAATGGTGAGATAGAGAGTCCACATATTAAAAATATCAAAACTGAATAATTTTGGGAACTGAATGGGATGATATGAAACTGCATAGTAGAATGTTTCCTTTGTTTTCTCACTGGGACATTTTAGGATTATATTTATGGACTCAATAAAAATACATTACTAAAATATATATCTCAAATTATTTGGGGAGAAGAATATAAATCTATTCTTCATTTGTTCCTTTGCCAGAGCATAAATTTCTTTTCTGTTTCTAAATGTAAGGTATACTGCTTATGTTAATAGACTAGTACTCATATGTGCAATATACAGCTTTTCCATTCCTGCCCAAGCAAGTTGTCTTTCCTGTTTAATTTCCACTTTCTTTCTTTGTTGATTACTGTGTCGTATTTTGCCCAATATCAGCTTATCACAAAATTATCATTTGTCCATTCATATGTATGACAAGGCATAACCAGCCTCATAGCCTTCTCCACGTCACTTTTTCACGTTGTATTATTATTGAGTTTTAAAACATTCCTTGTTTCTTAAAAACTGCAAATTTCTGTATCATGGCAAGATAGCAATCTCTCATTCTTTATCTAGCACTTTCTGTCCTTTCATATATCCTCACTCTCTTAATATTTTCCATGTTTGAAACGATATTTTAATACCTTTTTGCCTGAATATTTTTCAAACTTTAGGAATTTTCAGCCTAGAATATCTTCTTCCCAGTAGCTTTACCTCCGTCCTTCTCATCAACTATTTTAACTCCAGCTTAATCACCAAACTGTATCATATCTCACTTGTTTCATGAACTTAAAATGGATTATGCTTTTTTCTTTCATGGTACGTTATGGTAACAATTCTTAGAATTATTAAGGTAGTAGTAAATTTAAAATTTTAGGCTTAATTTAATTGAAAAAACTTATTCTGATTGTAGTTTGGACTTTGTGTCTGGCGAATTTGTTTTGCCATTTTTGATTACTGTGGTTTTAAGAGCTTATTTGGAAAATTCAAGTCGTTCTTATGTACACAGATAGAGTCCATATTTGAGTTTATATTTTACTCATACACCCCCTGCAGCAGAACTTTAGACTTGTGATTACAGAGGTTACATCTAGAACATGGAAAAATTACGATGCTCTCCCTTGTGCTGTAGAAGCTCAGCACAGCACTGAAGAAAACAGCTTCTGTTTAAAAAGCAACAAGCCACCTTATGTAAACATAGATGAATTGTAGGTAGTAAGAGTGGAACTTGCTCATAGACTTTTTGCCTGTCAACACTCCTGTGATGAGACTGGAAACCTCAGGAGTCAGACATTTTAGATTTTTCTGAGAGATTCTGCAAAATCAGTTTTTCAATTTTTTATTTTTTTTTTTTAATCAATATGTGAATTATTTATTGTGCAGATGACAGAACGTACCACTTTCAAGCAGAGGATGAACAGGAATGTCAAATGTGAGTTACTTTGCTAATTTTGTTTTTGATACTGGTGTTCTACTGAGACGTTACCTTGAACTTTAGAAGTGCCGAAACATTTAATAGCAAAATATTACTGCCATTTTAGATGGACATCTGTGCTACAAAACAGCAAAGAGGAAGCTTTAAATAATGCATTCAAAGGAGATGATAACACAGGAGAAAATAATATTGTCCAGGAACTGACAAAAGAAATTATATCTGAAGTCCAGAGGATGACTGGAAATGATGTGTGTTGTGACTGTGGAGCACAAGGTGACTCAATTAAGCATATTTCTAATTGGTAAAAATTCTATGTCTCATGAGAGTATTTAAGCTGGTGTTTTATGCTTTCGCTTTTACTCCTTATCTCTACACATAGTAGAATATGCTAACAATTTAATTGCGCTATTTTAGTAAGATTGATTTGCTGTATCCATATTGTCAGTTGGGAGAAAAGTTACTAAGAAGCTTATTTTTCTCCCGTGTATTTTGCTAATTGTAACTTTTGCTTATATAAATCAATTGAACGTATTTATTAGCCCATATTTTATAGATTTAGGTAAAACTGGACAGCAGTAAGGTACTTCAAGCATTTTCCTAATACACCTCTCCTTTTTTTTTCACTTTTTGTGTTTGACTTTGAGAGTGAGCTAGGGAATATGTCTGACTGCTAATTTAGAAAAGAATGCACCTGCTGACTATGGTTTGCAGTGTTGGTTTTGTTGATCGATGATTTTCTACTTTAATCCTCTTTAAATTATTTTTTAAATCCTATTGTTTCCTGTGTTCTTTTATGTTACAGAGGCACTGCAGCACTTAGGGTTTTTTTGTCCGAAACTGTAGCTGAAAACATCCAATCTGAAGTAGTGTGCAATTCATAAATCAATAGTAACTTCCAGCAATAGATACTGTATAAAACTATGGGAAGAGTCAATCCTGCTGTCTTTAAAGAAGCACATTCTAAATAGCTACTACCAAACCTTTATCAAATAAATGAATTTCTAAGCTGTCTTAATCTTCAGAAATTAATTATTTGTCTGGAAGTTGAGGGAATGTTATAGCAAGAATGCAAAATACCAGCAGAAAAGACAAGCAAGGGTACTGAGAGGAGAGGGATGAGCCTTAGTATCTTTGAAATAGTTGAGTGTGAATCCACTGTAATGTGGTGCTTTGTGTATACTTCAGAATCACTGCTGCTTCACTTAGCCTACTTGAAATAAAAAAACCGAACAAAACACAACAGAAAAACAACCAGCCCTGTAGGCATTGTCATTTCAGTTTGAACTGCACCTATACCCCCCATTGAGAATGTGACACCATTATACTGGTGGTGGGAAAATGCAATTCCTGAAAGCCATGTGGAGAATGACAAACCGGATTGTTTGAGCAGCTCCCCCGCAGAGTAATGTCCTTTACAAAAAAAAAAAATCTCTTCACTTCTTTCGTCCTTAAAAACTCCTGGTTTGTGTTTCCCAATAGAGTAAATGTAAAGACATAAATTAAAAAAATGATAATTCACATATAGGAATCTTATTTTACAGAATTTCATTTCTGTATTCTGCATTTTCCAGAACGAAATAATTACCTGAATAAATTGTAATTCTCTGTGTGCTTTCTGTTTCAGATCCTACCTGGCTTTCAACAAATTTGGGAATTCTGACTTGCATTGAATGCTCAGGAATCCATAGAGAACTTGGTGTTCACTATTCCAGAATGCAATCACTTACATTAGATGTGCTGGGAACATCTGAACTTTTGGTAATCAAATTGCTTTAATTAACTTAAAAATAGTACTCAAAAATACTTCCAACACAAGTATATTTGTCACCTTAATGATATGTTTTTCAGTCTTGAAAGTTGCCTCTGGATAAACATCATTTAAGAAAGCTTAATTCTTCAGGTTTAAGGGAACCTCCTGGAACATAGTGTCTTCCTGTTAACTTTGCCTGATCTTAAAATTCAAATTAGTAGAGGCTTCATATTTTTTCTGTTTCCAAGTCTTTTTACCCTTGGTTGCTTTTTAAAAGAACACAGCTGTTTTGACATATAGATGTACCTCTCAGATTAAAAATTGAAGGACTTCACAAATACTTATCCATTAATTATTTAGCATTATTTTAGAAGAGAACTTTAATCCTCAAAGGAAGACAATGTATCTGGCTTTGCTACACAAAGAAGTTACCACATATCAGCTGCTCTGTCGCAGTTCATATGTGTGTTCTTACCCAGCACAAAGTATTTTGAATTTATTGTGCAAACTGGTGTCTTGATGAATTATTCTTGATGGATTACTTATTTGTGTATTAAATCAAAGCTAAAAACTGACATCCGAAAAGGTACCTAATCTGTTCATGTTCACTGACATAGTAACAGAACTAGGAATCAGAAACAAAAAGTCCCAAATCCCATTTTCCCTTGTCCTCCCACTAGTATGTGCATGGCCCATAACTGAACATGTTTATTAAGTGAGTGGTGGATTATTATGTTTTTTTTAACAGCTTGCAAAGAATATTGGGAATGCTGGTTTTAATGAGATTATGGAATTCTGTCTGCCACTTGATGAGATGGTCAAACCTAATCCAAGCAGTGATATGTAAGTAAAGGGCCTCTACTTCTGAAAAAGGCAGGCATTTAATTTAATATTGCTAATGGGTTGCGCCATTATGGTTTGCACCAGCAGACCATGGAAGATGTATAATGTCTTATATATAGCCTTGCAGCCAAGGAGTAAACTTTTTTTTCCTAATGCTTTGCATGTCTGTTTTATTGAACTTTATCTCACTGTACATTCCCTTATAGTAAGGAAGCTCTCTGAATCATGATTTGTGGGATAGAAACAAATTAACCCTGACTTGTTGGGAATTTTAAAGACACACAAGGGTAGGGGTTAAAAACAAAGCTATTAATTTTGTGCTATTTATACACAAAATAGAAATTGGAATAAGCTCACATTTTACCTAGAAGATACTGAACACCTAGTGTTTAGAAACTACACCTCGGCCGTAAGCCCGTAACTATGTGGAATAAAGACAGAACACTTAATTGAATTCCTGGAAAACACTGAATTATGATGGCAGAGAGACAGCAAGGACAGCTGCCTACTTGGCTGGATACTACTCCACCATAAAAGAGCTAGTAAACGATGCAGAAACAAACCCAGAAGAATTTGGATGAAGTCAATTTTACATTATCTGCACTTTCACCATCTGACAGAACCAATGTTAAACCATACAGTTTAAGTAATTTCTTACAACCACTATCAACAATAGAATATTAATAATTAAAATGAATAATTTTACAGAATGCTAAACCAATAGTAAAAGAAACCTTCTAAAAATTCTATTTAAAAAATATTTTAGTTTGATAACATCTACATATCAAATTTGGGTTTTTTTAAATGAAATGAGAACCTGAAGACAAACGCTTTTTAAAAACTTTGAAGGAATACTGTCATATGCTTTAGGAAGAAGAGCTATCCATTGATTCAATATATTATTATTTGCATATTTTTTTTCTTTTTGCCCATTATATAGTATCTAGATGATATAACGTATGGCTTTGCTAAATGTCTTCCGTGCAATGTGTACATCCCAAGAGCTGGTAAGGAGTTATGCCTTTGGGAGACGTGCAGGCTTCTGTCTTGTTGTGGTGGGAAGAGTAGTCGTCATTTGTTAGTTGGGTATCAACAGCTTTGATCTATCTTCTGTACATAGGGTAATCTTGATCTCAACTTCATACCGTAGTTCAGAAGGCAATAGGTCTCTTCGTGTTGGGTATTTGGTACATCTTCTGCAGCTACATTTCATACTGGAAATACGAGACTGCATGTCTTACATGCATATTTAAAAGAAAAATTATCATAATGAATGAGAAATAGTCTTTCCCAGATTTTATTTCAAATGACTTGCATGTATTTATGGAAATTCTAATGTGTATGTTCTGCTAGAAATTATAGACGTAAATTATATTCAATTTCAGGAATGCAAGAAAAGATTATATTACTGCCAAGTATATTGAGAGAAAATATGCAAGGAAAAAGCACGCTGACAATGCAGCTAAATTACATGCTCTTTGTGAAGCAGTCAAATCAAGAGACATTCTTGGATTAGTCCAAGTATATGCTGACGGTGTGGATCTCACAGAAAAAATTCCATTGGCTAATGGCCATGTAAGTGTTGTAAATTTTATTAGACAAATTGTTATAAGTGCAATATGCTTTCATTAATTAAAATAGACTATTTTTTCTTATTCGAAATAGTTCTGAACACTTGTCCTTTTGATGATGTAATTTAACGAGAGGATATTTAACAGTTTAACCTAAAATTGTTTACAAATACCATCATACTTTAAATGTATTAAAACATTAAACATTATATCATTTGATAATCTATTTGTTTTCAACCCGTTTGTTTACTTTAAAGGAACAAAAGGGAAGCAATAAAAGTCTTCACAAGAGATGTTTTAATGGTAGCCATGTCTGAATATTTTGAAATGTTTTAATTGATCTAATTTATGTCTTAATAAAATTTCTGCTTCTCTGTAGATTAGAAGAAACAAACGTGTTCTTTTATTTTATTCTTAGGAGCAAGACGAAACAGCACTTCACCTTGCTGTTAGGTCAGTTGACCGAACATCCCTTCATATAGTTGACTTTTTAGTGCAGAACAGGTAGGTGTATGGAAAGCTGTTTGAATGTTATTGGTACTGCTTTTGTGTCAAATAATACAAATACTAAATGAATACAAATACTAAATCTAATTCTAGTATTTTCAAATATAATTTTATAATTTGAAAATCTTGCAATGAGAGAGGTTTATTAATACAAGGTAGCAACTAAGTTTAATCAGCTTTTTTCTTCTTTCTTGTACTCCATTAGTGGCAATCTAGATAAGCAAACATGTAAAGGTAGTACAGCCCTGCATTACTGCTGTCTGACGGACAACGTTGAGTGCCTCAAACTGCTGCTGAGAGGGAAGGCTTCTATTGAAATAGGTAAAAGGGTAATGTGTACTTCAATTTCATGTTTGTCACTGCTTCAGATAAGAAACAGTGAAGGTGGAATAAGTGTATTTTCTGCTCAATTGTTTATCATGATTCTGTGAACATAATCTTCATTATAAAAAAAAATATTCACTGTTTATTTCCAGTTTAAAATTGACTTATACATTACACTTGCGTTTTAAACAAGTTTAGATAAGTAAGTACCAAGATTTTCAACTGGTATCTTGTTGCTGAGTTATACCCTGCCATTTCATGGCTATCATTCCATATGAAGGCAAGAGATGAATTTTAGAGTGTGTTGGTCTAGTTTGATATAGCTAAACTATTAAAACATACTCACTGTGAAGAGTTGGTAAGTGTTGCATCTTTCTGTGTGTTTGTGCATTTATAAGCAGAATCACATCTGGATATTTAACAGGTTACAGTTGAACATTCAACAGATACATTCCAGACAGAATAGTTGTATGCTTAGGAATAGTTATATGCTTTTGAGAAGAAAATTATCTTTCTGTTTAGATGCTTTGGAAATGCTAAACTTCTTGAGGCCAGGGGATGATTCTGTTTGAGCTATTAGTCCCAGATCCACAAGTGTCTGACATCCGATTGAAATCTGATCACTAAATTACTTCTTACGGGTGAAGGCCATGGATGTATGCCATTTTCTTGTTGCCCAGAGAAGTTGTGGATGCCCCATCACTGGAAGTGCTCCATGTCAGGTTGGATGGGACTTTGAACAACCTGATCTAGTGAAAGCTGTCCCCGCCCATGGCAGCGGGGGTGGACTAGATGGTCCAAACCATTTTGTGATTCTATAAAGAGAAGTTGGCTACCATTGCTACTTTTAGTAAGCAAGAAAAATGGATTAGTGGAGTCAAGGCTTCTTCATAAGTGAGTCTGATTTAAAACAAAAAATCAACCAACTGCCATCACGGTTGATTTCTTTGACTTGGAATTTCTAAATCAAAGAAAATAGGATGTAATGCTTTATATCATAAAATGGAGAATGACCTACACTGGAGAATGGACCTACAATGGTTAATGTAAAGCCTAGTTGCTTTTGATTTGTTTGTGTTGTGTTTGGTCACAGAGCTTAACTCTTTAAACTTGTCCCAGTGCAGTAACTTTCCAGTTTACTGAAATCTGTTTTTAAAATAAAAGTAATATTTGTAGTTAGAAATCAAGGTTCCTTCTATATGTGTTTTTTCTTTGTTTTTAAATACGTTGTTTTAAAATAACTACTGCACATAACATAAATATCAACAGTCATCTTTTTTTCCTTAGCTTACTCAAGCACTGTCTGGAAGATTTAATTCTCATGTTCATGTAGAATATGAATGGCGGTTACTCCATGAAGATCTTGATGAAAGTGATGATGATGTCGATGAAAAGCTGCAGGTTTGTATCAATAGGTTATTATTTTTCTGTACACGTATCTGTGTAAGCATTATGTTCATAGTGATTTCAGTAACGCCACTTTTTACTATAGGTATGAAGACACTGTGAAATAAGGTTCTGTAGTAAAATGTAGTAGGTTAAATTTTAGTTCCTTAAATTATAGTTTGTCATCTTTTTCCTCTTCAATATAAGGTATAAAACATATGGCCGTTTATTTATATCTGCTGATTGGGAAGCAGAACCAACATGAGATAGGAAAATTGCCTTTACAAAGAGAGGTACCTCATGTTTGTGAAACAGATCCAGTTGATGGCTTTAATTTTGGAACAGTTTATGCATTGTCTTCAGTGGAACTAAACTCGTGCATTAAATAAGCCACATCCATTAACAGCAGAGTAAGGTCTTTATTCTGAATCTTTATGTAAAAATGTTTTTGTTTTTCTCCCTTTTCGTACCTGAAATTTCTGGTGGCGGTGTTGCGCTCTTGGGTCCAGAGTCACAGAATGGTTGAGGCTGGAAGGGACCTTTGGAGGTCATCTGGTCCAACCCGCCCTGCTATAGCAGGGTCACCTGGAGACAATTGCCCAGGACCATGTCCAGATGGGTTTTGAATATCTCAAAGGATGATCATATTACAAGTATTACAAAGTATTTCAGTAGTGTAGGAACTTCGTTGCATTTTCAAAAGTTAATTTCCCAATCTGGGGACCAATTTCAAAAAGTATTTAAGCACCCAAACCTACAGACAGGGAACAAACTACCATGTTTTGGTACCTGAATAACACTTAAATATGGCTTGGATGTGTTGGACAAGTAATTTGAAATGACGTATAGGCTTCTGAATACTAATGACATTTGGAAACTTTCATAATTTGAAGTATTCTGTATAAATATTGAACACCTGTTTTTGTTCTTTTTGTGTGTGCGGTGTTACAGTTGCTTATGTCTTTTCTGCTTCCTTGATAAAGTGCAAGGAATACACAATAGGCTTTATATTAGTTAATCTTCGGATGTTAGCACAACCTTTTTTTCTCTTGAAAGTACCTAACAAAAAACTCTTTCTCTTCTGGATAATGAAATTTGACTTTTTTCTTTCTACAAGTTTTAGCATTTTAATACTTCTCTTGCAAAGTCCCCCATCTAAGCTAGGGCATGAATTGCTAATACTTAATTAATAACGTAAAACCAAATCTTGTGTCTTGGCTTTTTCTTTTTCAGAAATATTAAAACCTGACAGTCATAGGTTCGTTTTCTTTATCTTCACAGAATATCTTTAAAAATGCTAGGTCATCAGACCGTTCAATTGGCTTAATGTTTTGGAGATCAGTTTTGAGATCAATAAGTTTCCTCTGTTGGAAAGTACCATTTTTGCAAGATCTTGTCTGCATGGAATTCTTTTCCCTATGTCCTGTCTCTTTAGTCCAAGGTAGCTATTACCTCTGGGTCTCGACTTGAACTAGAGTTAGCAACAAAGAGCAAATAATATGTCACAAGCCATGCCTTTCAGAACTCAGTTGCTACCTTAAGATTTTCTTAAGATTTTTCTTGAAATTTTGGTATCTCTGCAAGAATCTGGAATCTGTGAGCTTCTAAGTCCTGTTCTTCTGGGTGCGCTTTCATATTATACCCCAGTATTTATGTATTCCTATATATTGTATCACCGTGCAGATAATAACAGCAGGAACGATGAGCTTTTTTGATAAAGCAGCTTGAAACTTTGTTATGTTTTAGACATTTATTTTTTTCAAGCTGTAAAACCTTTTGGGTACTTTACAACTAGATATCTAGCAAATCCCTTTCAGGGACACTCTAAACTCGTATTTTTGATCTGTTTTTTCTCTCCCTCCCTTCATTGTTGCCAGTTGCCTTCTGCAGTTGAGTGTTCTCTTTTTGGCTAGTCCCTGAGCTCCAGGTCGTATAGGAAGTTATCTGCTACTCAGCAATGAGGCTGAAGTAATGAAACTGCTACTTCACTGCCCACTATTAGTAGGCTTATACTATGGGGACTTTTGAAAGGAGATTAAGGACTCTTAATCACAGGCTAGTGTCTGTGACTACATTGAATGCAGTGGTGAGTACTGCTGTTGCTTAGGATCACATCAGAATTCTGTTTATAAATGTAAAGCTATTGGGCTTGTCTCTCTCGTTGGTAAAGCAATTGAATAGATTTTGTAACCTTTGTCAGAAAAGGCCATGTCTGAAATTGGAGTTCTTTTAGTCCCGAATTTTTCATATAAAAGAGACTCTAACCTAAAAGACGACTAAGACAATCAACTGCTTTCTGCTGCTGTTCCACACCTCAGCTGCCTGGTCCTACCTCATCTTTTGCCTCCATTCTGGCACACATTTTTCCCTGTATTGAGCTGTTTCAGTTTGGTAAACCAGTGAAAAGCTAAATCAGCAAAACAAAAAAATAATTTTCTGCTGGTTTAGAAAGCAGAAGCAAGTGTGGGCTGAAACAAACACCGGAACCAGGACAGTGGAAAGGTCAGGGAATAGAAGCTGTCAGCCAGCGAGGAGTGAGGCTACTAAGCCAAAGTAAAGGTAGAGATTAATGTGTCACGTACATCATTCTAATAAATTTTTGAACTATAATGCTATGCTATAAAATGTCTAAAGGCCCTAAGTGATCAGTCCAGACTAAGCACTGAATATTTTCAGAGGAAAATCGATTGCTTATTTGTGATACTGTTGGTGTAAATCTTTATTCTGCCTAAATACTATTATTATAAATGGTTATTTTAATTTCATACAGACAGTACGTCAGCGACGTGTTTATCTAACACTATTTCTAAAGGCATATTTATGCTTTCTGAGCTGTGGATTGTTACAAACCATTCGTGTACTAGCCACATGAATTTATAACTCCATCTATTTTAATTATCATTTGATCACAATAATTACTATGTTTGCTGTTGAAACAGGAAAAATAACGCTAAGTGTGCATAGCAAGCAGATGACTTGCTGTAAATCTCAAAGACAACTAATTAGATTTCATTTGATAGTGTGCATGGGATGAGCAATGTTCCATCTCAGCTGCCAATTGAAGTAATCTCCTTAATTTGTCCAGCGATATTAGTGAGCTAAAAAGAGTTCATGACAAGTTTTGGCTCCTAATTTGTTGTAAGCTGAGCTGCAGGTAGAATGCTTAGATGCAATTGTGTCCAGTTTTTGAGATCATGATCATCTGTTTGGGGTCTAGCACTGCTGAACTTCAGATGACGTTTAGGATCTTCAATTGTTTATTTACTTTTGAAAATATTGCCTGGTATTTTGGTACGGGGAAACTTTACTTGATCCAGTCTGAATATCTATATTGACTACCTATAGAAGTATAGTCCTGTGTATATAACAATAAAGTATTATCCTATAGGAGTATACTACAGGAGAAAATGAGAAAATGATAATTGTTTTGAAATTTAATAATTTTTGTTGTTGTTGTTACTTGTCTTGAAAAGGGTGGAATGTAGGCTGGGTTTAGTATATATATTAAAAGCAACAAAAATGCATTTTAGAAGCCGTTTTTTCTTTCTAGAAAGTAATAACTTTCTGTCAACTAGTAAATAAAAATTAGTACAACTAATGTGGTATCAGTGAGTACTTTTGTTATTGTGTTTAAGCAACCCAGTCCCAATCGGAGAGAGGACAGGCCTGTCAGCTTCTATCAACTTGGATCAAACCAGCTTCAGCCTAATGTAGCATCCTTGGCAAGAGATGCAGCTAACATTGCTAAGGATAAGCAAAGAGGATTTATGCCAAGTATACTGCAGAATGAAACATATGGAGCAATACTCAGTGGCAGTCCACCTCCCATTCAGCCTGCAGTACCTGTTACAAGTAGTGCGCCTCCTCTACCTCCAAGGAATATCGGCAAAGGTACTAACACCAGAAAATATCATTGTAAGAAGAATGGTATCTTAACATTTTTTTTTTCATTATTACAGTTTTAGGTTTTCTTTTACAGTTATTTTGCACAGGTAAGTATTGGAACAATGTATTGATTACTTCATTTTATATACTTGAAGTAAACCTCAGTAGAATTAAACAATTTATTAAAAGGGGGGCTGCAGTCAGTTTAGTTCAGCAATTTTTTTTTCCTTGTTGTATTCCATCTTTTCATGCTTCTGTTTCTTGAAGATGTCATTGTCAGAGTTCAATTTAAACGTACAAATTCAATAGCATTTGGCTGCTGTAGAAAATTGTTTAAGACCTGAGAGAATGGAGAGTGTATGCAGAACATGAGAGATTTTAACCTTGCAAAGTCTTCTCTTAATAAATAGAGGCTTCAAGGTTGTCGAAATAAAAGTGTGTCATGACGTGGAGAACTGGTAGCTAACCGAAAATGTAACTGCCAATTACTGGTTATACCCCGATCCGCAGAACAATGTAAAATGTACATGTCTCATCCTGGTTCAGAAGGGTTGTGTACTTGCAAAATCTACCATTAAAGCTGATGCTATGAACTTAATTCTTATCTTTATATATAATCTCTTTGGATCATACTAAAGAAGTGTAGAGAAATCTGTATAGGTCGTCTTTGTACAGTACACGTGGTGTGTTTCATTGCTTTAATACCTTTATTAGTCCAGCAGCTTTCATGGATGCTAAATTTATGTAAAGTTCAATTCAAGAAAAATTACTATGTAAACATATAATTTTCTCTCGTGCTGTAATTCAGACTCTAAGGGGAGATACGAGTAGGGAATGTTATAGACATGTGAGTGTCTTTGCCTTTGGGAGCACTGCGCGGAGGTCAGAATGCAAGACTCCATACACCAGGGATTCTGTCTGAGGTGGCAAATCAAATATCTGTGTAATACGAATAGTCAGTTATTGGTCTCACAGGAATGGCTGCAGCATAAAAGTCAGATTCAAACACGTTATTTTGGGGGCAGAAAAACTGAGAACAATAGAACAGCATGGTATTGGGTTACTTCAAAAGGGTAGCGTGAGACTGGGGGAAGTTTGGCAGCGTATAAAGCTTAACCAAGGTGGAATTCCTTTCATCTAACATTTTTCCATGAAGTTTAAGCTTAATATCTAGACAATTTTTTACTTGATGGAAAGGAATGTTTCCCCTACCCAACAGGAAAATTCACTCAAGGAGCTTGCATAGTCTGTTTAACTGTTAGATTCTATCTCTAAGTTAGTAATACAAATGTATAGTTAAGAAGACTGGTTTACCCTTTGATATTATTTTAACCATGGCCAGCCGTACTATTTTACCCGCTGTTTGCCCTTGGTTAAATGACACTTTTCAAAGAGTGTCATTTTAATTTCATTCCCAACCCCAGACTTCTTGGCACCAGTATAGTGCAACTCACGCCAAGAAAGCATGCTGCCTGGCTTAGATTATTAGCTCCTATTCTTTACTCTAGCAATGTATTAGCCGATTGTTTTATATTCTTAGTTAAAAGCTGTAATAGTATCATCGATCTTAGCTTCTTGTTGATTGCTGATGATGTTGTTGTTACGCTTATGGTGTATTATGACTCCTTTATCCTCTTAGGTTTAGGATGTTCTCCAAGTCTTCTGAGCCTTTTATGCTTTTCCCTGCAACCTAGTATTTATTCATACCTTACTCTGTTTCATCTTTTCTTAATATGATGCTCATGTGCTGAGTAGGGAGAAGTGGCATTATGTGTGCAAAATGTTGGCTTTATGAAAAAAACCTGTAGTGTGTTTTTATGAAATGGGGAAGCAGCTCTTCAGCCTCAGAATGGAGTCATTTTGGAGGCTCCAAAGAAGTTGTGCTTTGTAACTGTTTCATAACTAGTTATTATAGTTTTTTGTTTGGGTTTAATTCAGAATTGCAGTTTAATGTCAATTTCAAGTCAAAACTGATGTTTCACTTTGAGTCAGGAATGTCTGGTCATACTCATACAAGAGTGAGGTCCTTTTCTTGCAGTACCTGAGACAATTACAGCTATCAGTGAGGGATTAAAGAAGGCCCAAGACTTGCTTTCCGTCTTCTTGTTGAGAAGTTTCTGCTTTTTCAAGGGTTGACATATTTTAAAGTAATGATTGGAGACGAATTTTACTTAGGTGAAGTGTTAGTAAGACTTCACCCAGAAACTTCTATGTAATTTTTTACACCAGACTCTGATTGCTACTCTGGCGTTCCAGCAGGATGGCAGTGGTTCCTGTTGCTGAATATAGTGGTCTAGCTGCACCATTTTTAAAAGCACGGGTGTGAATATTAACACTTTGTGCTTAGGGTAAGCAATAATAATAATACAGTATTTTCCTCTCTTTTTAGTTCAGCCTTCAGTTCTTGGCAGTGGTATTCAGACAATTTCTTCATCTAATGCAATGTGGAAGACAAATTCTTTAGGAGTGGAAAGTATAAGCAGGCAGAGGTCTTCATCAGATCCACCAGCTATTCATCCCCCTGTGCCGCCATTGCGTGTAACATCTACAAGTATGTTTCCACTCTCCCCTGTTTTCCCTTCTGCTATATCTAATCATAGTTGGCTTATTTTTCCATTTCCACAACTCATACTTCCTCTTTTGGTGACTGTAGCTTTGGCCTATCGTTCCCATCCAGTAACTTTGTATGAACTGTCTTCTCTGATGTTCCAGTGAGGACTGTATGGTGTAGTGCAGGGTTAACAGGAAATACTATCTATTACTAAAGCTAAAGAGGTCTTCACTTTTATATATAGTTTCAATGCTGCATTTCTCACTAGTTGCAAAGATGAGTGTTACATGTAGGCCTGGGGCTATGTCGCCACATTGTGCTTGATTCTTGCAGACCATAAGAATGGAAAAAGATGTTTTAATACATTGCCACCTGTTGTGGTGGTGGTTTCAAGAATTCAATAGAGATTTTAATTAATTGCTAAACCTAATGTAAAGTTAGATGTTAATTGTAACAGGATTTTAAGAAAAGGCATATGTCTAAATAAAATTTCTGAGATATTATTCACTGAATTACTTTCCATAAAACACAAACTGAAAGCCTTGATTGAGCAAACAATATTAGAACTTATTATTAAATACATCCTGATCTACTGTTTTCAAGTATGTGACTGACTTTGGAAAGAATTTTCTTTGCTTGTACTTTAATGCTTGAATGAATTGAAGTACTTGTGAGCTCTTTGACCTTAACTACATGAAACAAAAGGTAAACCTCTTTCCAAAGAGGTCCTCCATCCAGTGGAAGGATTGCTTTCTGTTTAAGTTGATTACGTTTTTCTTGGATGGGGGTAAATCCTGTAACAGGACAACCTGTGGGTGAGAACCCAAGAAAAAAAAAAGGTAAATAGAAATTTAATTCCATTTCACTGTCTAACTTTCTTCTACAGATGTGCTTTCTCCAGCACCACCGCCTCCAGTGGCAAAGACAGCCAGCATTATAGAAGCTTTGAACCAGCAATCTAAACAGCAACCAGCTCTTCCACAAACTAAGCCAACCCCACCACCACTGCCCCCACAACCTCCTAGTAGAATCTCTCAAAAAAAGCCTATTCCTGGGTAACTAATGTCATTTTAGTATTTAATATACTTGATAATTATTAGTAACTTTTCAATTTTATGGTCTATAACATGCAAGTAATCTATAAAGCATGCATACTTTGCCAATGATGTATTCTAGAGTATGTGAATGAACAGAAGGCAGACACTAAGGGAGCAGATTACAAGGATTCCCACAGTAAAAACAAGACAGCCTAGTGACTTAAGATTGTATGACTTGCAGAATATCTGCAGAATGATTAGTGGTGACAGAAATAAGAAGCCACAAAGAATAATCCATTCCTAATTCTCATACAATAACAAAGAAGAGATAATGGGATCTTGTGTCTGACTGTGCCATTTTATTATTATTCATATTTATTATTCATATGCTTTGCATAGGCTCACTTCCATTCAATATTTTCATTTGTGGCAGGAGTAGAGAGACCTAGAACACAAAATATCATTTTTAAATTTGTAGGAAACAAAGTTAGGAGGGACAAGTGCACTGGAAAACAGGATTATATCCAAAGCAGCCTTGGGAAACTGGAGTAGTAGTGAAGGGAGAAGAAGGGTGTCATTCAGTAAGCAACACTTAGTACTTAAGAACAATTAGCTACAAAAATGAAGCATGGAGAACAGCAGAGTATGGTTAAGTAAAAGTCCTTAAGAGAAGGATCTGCAAGGACATAGTGAATCATATATGAAAGTAAGTCAGACGACTCATGCTCTTACGTAAGAGTCAAAGAGAAATAGGATTGTTTGATTATAGCCTGCAAATTATATGAATTAATCCTTCTAATTGACTTAACATCAGTAATGCCTCAGCTGGTCTACTGTGTTCAGTTTTGGGTATTTTAGTAAAATAAAGATACAAAATAGGGAGGCAGAAACCAGGGGAGATCAATAAGGTAATGAGAAGTCTAGAAAATATGACCTGTGAGAAAAATTTGGAAGAAATAAGATTCTCTTATATTTTTTAAAAAAGAAATTGTAGCATAGATACACGTCTTCAAATATGTACAAAGTGTTGGATTGTGCCATACCTTTTTACATGTCATGATGGCTCTAAAAAAGACTCTTGTTTAAGTTGTGGCAAGAATAATTTAGTTAGACACTAGGGAAAGCTTTCCAAAAGCAAGCATAGGGATATATTGTAGGAACTTGTCTGGGAAGTTTTTGTATTCTCTGACACTGAAAATTTGGCAGAGTACAGTCTGTACAAGCTTTGGTAGTTATAAGATATGGGGACATGTGTGTATATGTGGAATAAATAATATACATGGTTGATCCTTTGTGAATGAAAAAGGTAAACAACCTTTGACCTCCCTTTCTAGTCCTTTGGTTGCGTATACCATACAAAGTAAAAGGAAGAAACAACTTGCTGAAGCTTGCTATAATATAGAGACTAATATGGATACATAATTTTAATGAAGGATTTTAAAATAGCAGTGAAAGAAACTTCAGAACTTAAGAAAATAAAAATCCGTTCTACACAATTTGCAGTAATTGAACCTATAGTATTATTCTGCCTTACATTTTTAAATTAAGTGCGATTGGTGTAATCAAAAATATGAAAGCAAAGCAGTATTTTTAAAAGCAAAATAGCTGTTACTGGAATATACTGAATACATGACAAGAACTTTATAATTTGGAAAATAATCTGTATTGTTATGATTCAAGTTCTTGTTTGTTTCTTAAATGGATGAATTTGTAACTTTCTGCACAGGACTGAGAAGTCATCTGGCTTAACTAACAAAGGGCAGTCCAGAGGACTTGGATCTCTACAACAAACTGGTAATTGTGGTTTAGAGATTTATTTTATTGTAATTAAGGTATCATTATAACAGCCTAAGGGATAGTGGGGTTTTTTATTTACCTTGCACATTTAAATACAGTCGTTACCAGCATTCTTGTTGTTTCTCTTCTTGATTGTGTAGGCCTTGATGCCTCAAGCTTTTCTACATGAACTGAGTTATTGGCCAATTAATGTAATTAATGTCACCATGTAATAAGAAATAAAATCACAGAACAGCTGAGGTTGGGAGGGACCTCTGCAGGTCATCTGGCCCAACCCCCCTGCTCAAGCAGGGCCACCCAGAGCCAGTTGCCCAGGACCATGTCCAGATGGCTTTTGAATATCTCCAAGGATGGAGACTCCACAGCCTCCCTGGGCAGCCTGTGCCAGTGCTGGGTCACCCTCACAGTAACAAAGTGTTTCCTGATGTTCGTGTGGTACCTCTTGTGTTTCAGTCTGTGCCCATTGCCTCTGGTCCTGCTTTCCAGCTGGCTGGCCACCAGCATATATCGGTGCATGGGCTTGTTCGTCCCCAGGTGCAGGGCTTTGCACTTCCTTGCTCTGGATTTTCCCCTAGTCTCTGGGCCCTGGGGTTCCTGAAGATGGGTCTTGCTAGTAAAGACTGAGGCAAAGAAGGCATTCAGTACCTTAGCCTTTTCTATCCCCTGTGTAACCAGATCCCCCACCTCATTGACCAGTGGGTCCACATTTTCCCTAATTTTCCTTTTGTTACTTCTGTATTTACAGAAGCTCTTCTTGTTGTCTTTGACATCCTTTGCCAGACTCCATTCCAGTTGGGCTAACTTCACCTAAAGCCCACTCAAACAAAGGATGCGTTATGAAAACTTTAGTTAGTTTACTGTCCTGTTTGCATGTGTCATAAACAAGGTAACAGATATACATTTTAGAATAGAAAAATGTGTTTCTAGTTTGAAAATCTAAAGTTCGTATAGTGTCATTTTTAATTAAATTGCAAATTGATATTGCTCTATTCATGCTAATGAACAGAGTTCGTTATTGGTTCTCCTCTTTTCGTTGTTCAATGTAACTACTACTTTGGGAAATTATTGTAATGTTATCTTGATAAAATGTCCAAAGTACAGTTTGTGTGGATTCTGTGTTGGCTGTAGTGAAATTTCTCCTACCCGGTTTCCCCTTCCACTGTATATATTCATTGGTTCTTACCGTGATCCTTTTTTTTCCCCCTTGACATACCCAAGGGGAATTTTCCTCATGACTGTCTGCCATCTGTGTCAGCAGTCTCCTGTGAAGGATACAGCATCTTGATAATGACAGTCTTTACTAGGAAAGAAGGGTTCTAAAAGCACACAGTCTGTAGTGACGAATGGGGAAATTGGATATTTGGTTCTGTTCTCATCTATTTTATAGGCTTTTTTCTCTTTTAGCATATCTGCAGTATTAAAGGTCTTAGGTAATTGTCTTTGGGAAAAGAAACGTTTTTTTTGTAAGGAAAAGGATAGAAAAATTTTGTTCAGTTATTTAGAAAGAACCATTACAAAAATTAAGTACTCATGGGATATAAAATTATTTGTATCCTTTAAAGAATAATCAATTTGGTTTCAATTTGTATCATTACTCTGACTTTTTTTTAAAGCATGCCTAAAATTTACTTGTTTTACTTACCTTAGCAGCAGGAGAGTCGTCTTCTGCATGTGAAATTCCAGTAACACAAACTGGTTCTACAACAAATACTTTGGCACAGATCCAGCCACCAGCACCAATGCCAAGGAAATCACAAATAGTAAGTAGACAGTCTGGGTTTTGATTTTATTAAATCTTCCGCTTTCCATCAAACATACTGTTGACATAATAGCGTATCCTGTTATGGAGAAAGTGTGAGAATTATGAAAAATAAAAAGCCTGTATCCTGTGTTAAATATGTGCGTGACTGGTTCTAATTATTTATGAAATCTTTGCTTTTCTTGCATTTCCTATATGATAGTATGTGTTTTAAAATTTAAAAAACAAACAAACAAACAAAAAAACCAAACTGAAACACCCCCCAAAAGAAACCAAAGAAAAGAAGCACGGATTCTTTGCTTGTGTCCACGTGTGACCGACACAATCCATAGAACATATGGTTTGACTTACTGAAGGTAGATAAGCTTGATAAGTGAGTCACTTGTAGGTGAGCTTAGTAAGTGAGTCACTCGTAGATTATATGTAATTTCATTCTTAAACTGTAGTGAAGTAAGTAATAAGGGAGCTTTTGTGCTTTCTTTTATAATGGGAGTAGATATATTCATGGTTGTTCACATAGGTAGATCAAACGGCTTCACACAAGACTAGTAGGAGTCAAGCTCAAAACAAAAGAAATTGGTTCTTTGTGCAGCTAGTTCTCTTTGCATCTCTTTGTTCTGCATTCACTGGATGACAGGAGGGAAACCTCTTGGTAAATGCACAGACAGCGCATCTGACTTGAGACATCCCCAATCAGAGTGTGAAGGGTGAAGGGAAAGGCTTGGAAGTATTGTATATTCTTCTTGTATATTCTTCTTCTCCTCCCTACCCCAGCCTTACAGTGACTGTTAGAAGAGATACTGGATTTAGATGGACTCTTAATCCAATTGTGTAGCCTTTTTATACTCTTACTATTTATAATCTAGGACCATGTATGGTAACGCACATATTAGTGTTAATACCTGTATCCTTAGACTGGTGTAGGTAAAGGGATGTATTTCCAGTTGTCAGTTGAGCTGTTACATTATGTGTAGTTCAGCTAGCTCTTTGGTCCTTGCTCCAATTTCATGGTGCTCTCTTGCGTCATAGACATAAAACATCTACGTGCTTGATCAAGTCAGTATTTCTCTGCAGTAAGCAAATAACAACATAGAGAGTCCATGGTTTCCAAGATGCTGTATGTGACTAGGTCTGGGCTGTTTCATGCTTTACGTTCTGTGTGGGAGCGTGGTTCAGTAGGCAAATAATAAACTGAGAGGCAGGAGATGTGCTGTTTCTGGCTCTGCAATTGTCTTATTAATGGGCTGTAGCAAAGAGACCTGTCTTCTTGAGTCCTCTGTCTCTCTCCCTTCATCCATTTTTCTCTAGCTTTGTCTACTGAAATAGTAACTCTCCAGGACAGACTGCGGTGTGTTTGTGTGCATAGCCTTGCATGTTTGTCTTCAGCTCTTAGAACTCCTATTAGCTGTTTCTCATCTGATAATGCTGAAAAGCCACAGAGACATCTAGAGTTCATCTTGCATTAGCTGGGAGCCTAAAATCTCTTTTCTTGCCTCCCCCACTCTTGTTCAACCAATTAACTGTCTGTTTTTCATCAAAATAACTTCCATGTTTCAGGCTACAATAACATTAAATTGTCTGATTAATGTAAAATGGAATTTTTATCCCTTTTGCTTACATGCACCAGGGGAATTGCTATAGTTACTTTGTGAAGCTGTTGGATCCTGATCACAACTTCTGTTGTGTGTTCTGGGATTCAGGTGTGAGCACTGGCTGCATCCTTTCAACGCATCTGTTGGTTCTGAAACAGCTCCTTACCTAGCTTTCTGTGTAAATTGAAGTTGGAGTGGTACTTTGTCCTGTTCTCTCCTTTTTTATTTTATGGGACAAATTGCTTTAGTTATGAGTGAATGGGTATCCTGGCTAGTTTCTAGGAACAGTCAGTGTCTCCACTGTTTAATATTAATTGCACATAATATGGAGAACAAAACTGACTCCAGATGTCTCTAGGGCTTCAGGAGAGTGAATTCTGTGAGACTGAGAGAATCAGTTGGATGATTTTCATCTGTCGTAGGAGTAAGGGAAACCTGGCTCAGGAAGTGTGTGCTAGTTAAGGTGCTTTAGCTAAATCAATCTAGCCAAAGCATCTTAGCTGAGATTTAGTCAAGGGCCCCTCAGCTAAAGAGCTTTAGCTAGATCAGTCTAGCTAAAGAACTTTGGCTAAATCACTGCATTTAGCCTTATACTCCAGCCTTTTTTGCTAAGTCTTTACCCTGCCAGAAAATTCAGAGGCCATCCCAGATTTAGGAAATGATTGCAGAAGTGCTCATTGAGTAAAGAAAAAAAAGAAAAAGATGCCTAATTGTACATGCACATGTAGCCAGTGGCTTCTCTTCTATACAGTGCATTTGCCCAATAGCCTATTTTTGAGATGGAAATTCCTGATGCATCTTTTTTTTTAATGTCTACTTTAGATTTTTTTGAAACCATATTGTAGATACATGGGAAACTTTCCTGGAAGATTTTAGTCTTCTGGGAATGGGATTTATTTTAATTTCTCCGCCTTCTAAAGGACAAGAAATACCTGTAATTACTGCACTTTGAAGTTAGTAATTACATCACTGTTGTACTGATGTGAAGCTTTTCCCTCTTGACCTAAAAGGTGGTTGTGGTTCAAACTGTAACTTGACTGAGCATCTGACTAAAATGCTGTGATGCGGTGCAAGGCTGCCAGCTCGCAGGGGTGTGCCCCACGGATAGAGCCTAAGGGTGTGCCTGCTCAGGGCAGGTCAGGTTTTTGTATAGTAAAATGCAAATGGATGCTTATGGAGCAGCATAACAATCATGCTACCTCCTTCCTTCCCCATCCACATCTCCCTTTTCCTGCATGGCGTTCAGCCCTAACAAAATGGCACATTAAGAGGCTATTGGGCAGCCGAGAAGAGCGTTTTGCTGGTGGTGAGAAGTGGACTTGTGAATGGAGTTTCTTCTCCCCTTGCAAACTTCCATTTCCATGGAAGGAACTAGAGACTGGGATCAGTCCTTGGGGGACTCCAGGATGATGATGATACCTTCTTTTCCTTATCTGTCCTGGTTTAAGTGACACAGGACTAATTTCTCTTCTAATGCTTGGGAAAACCGCACTTTTAGAAGACTCTGCTGTCTGAATTTGTGAAAATATTTACTTTATAGCCAGCTATGGTATGTGGGTTTCAAGGTCTCAATGGTTTTAAGTTAGCCAGGTACAGGGATGAGGAGGAGCTCATCCCTGCACCTTGGGGTGCAGGCCCACTTGACCCAAGCTGGCCAACAGGATTATTTCATACCATGAACGTCACATTCAATATAAATTAGAAAGTTTGCTGCGGAGTTCTCTGTCTTCCTTGGTGGCTGCAATTCTGAGAACTTATTGCTCTGGTGCCGGACCCCTGCGGCCTTCCCTTCTTCCCAAAGCTGTAGCACCCAGTGTCTGACATTTGCTGTCCACTGCTGGGAGTGCACAGCTTCCTACTGATAGAATGGGCTGAGTATAGTCCTTGTATATTTTATATTGGTATCGGAATCAATACTGGTTTGGATGTTTTTAGTATTATTAATGTTAATTATTTAGTCTTATTCTATTAAATTGGTTTATTTTCAACCCTTGGGTTTCCTTGTTTTTTTTCCTGGGTGAGGAAGAGTCACCAGGTGATAGAGTAATGGTCAAAATGACAATAAATTGTTGTGGGTTCCTCAAATCATAGCATTATCCCATCTGTCTCAAACACCCACTGCATTAACAGATGTCTCTTCACCTAAATGGCACTTACAGCTCTGTTCTGGCATCTTAAGGTAGAGAGATTTTTGCAGGCTATGGCTGGGCAAACTGGCGAGAAGGGCGGACTCAAGGTAGAAAGCTTATGCTTTGCCTCCAGGTCCTGTGCCTCTCCACTCCTTGCATGGAAACACTTATGTAGGTAGCGTTACTGTTGGTCTGCAATGGAGAACGAGGAAGCTGGAAACAAATGCAGCAGGCCTGCTGAGGTGTGAGGTTAGAATGGTGGATACTGTGATAACGGAGCAAAACTATTTCAGCATTGCTTCAAACAGAACACAACTAGGATTGGAGTCCCACTGCGATATTGGAATATTGCAACTCCTTACTAAACTTTCCTATTGGAAGAGTTGACACACCACTCCTGTGTCTTGCAGTCCCCAAAGCACTAGAGAGAGGCAGAGGTTGCAGAGGGTTTGTGCACTGCTGAAATGCGTTTAGCAAATTAAGAAGGGGCATACTGGCAGGTGGCTCAGTCCTCTTTCTGATAATGCTTCTGCTGTTTAACTTGCTGTGTAGCACTTGATCTTGATCACCCCATCTTCTGAATAAAATCATACTTGCTTCAGTGTTGTAGAGCTCTGAAGACAAGTTTGTATGAGCCAAAATGGAAGATTGCGAAGGGAAACCTGGCCCACATTGGTGGTGCAGTGGTTGCAAAAGGCTTTGGATGCTGACAAGTTCAGCCTGAAGCATGAACACTCGGCACAAGAAATGCAGCTGAACCCTAACCTATGAAAAATAACAGTTGGAAGCAGTTCTGAAGCTTTCTTTAGATCAAGTCTATTCTGTCTCTTCCATGCTGTATTGTTAACATTTACTTATTTTTATATTTCAGTCAAAAACTAAACCCAAGAGAGTAAAAGCAATTTACAACTGTGTAGCAGATAACCCAGATGAGCTAACTTTTTCAGAGGGAGATATTATTGTAGTTGATGGTGAAGAAGATCAGGAGTGGTGGGTGAGTATTTTGCATTTTCCATCAACATACTTTGAAAAAATTAAATGAAATCTAAAGGCTGACAACTGACTTCACAAGATCCCCTGTTGGGTTTCCAAATAACGAGAAGTTTCGTCTCATGGAAACCTGATTCCAGAAATTCCTTTTGTTCAGAAATCAAACTTCAGATAAGTTTTTGGCTTTTCTTATTTAAATAAATAAATAAGTCTGATTAGTAGGGTTCACAATATACAGGGGAATGTGGTCTGTGTGATTCAGGAAATTCTTGGGGGGTGTCAGCAGTTTAACAATCTGCTGCTATTTCATCTTCCTTGAAGATGCTCTGTGGTGGGCTTCAGAAGACAGCTTTGTATTGTCCTAATTCTTTAGCTGACTGAGATTAAGAAATGATCTATTTGAGCTGGGAAACCATCTCAACTACTTACACTCCAGAGCCTCATCGGCTAAAGCAAAGTCTTGGGAAATTGTTATGCATGAAAACAATTGCTTTACTCTGTTAGCTAGTGAAGAATAGAACTTCACATTACGTCTAAATTGACAATAATGCTGTATAAACACAAATAGACTCATGTAAAACCCAGAACTGTTGAAGTCTGATCCATCGCTTTTACTTTTCAGTGGTTGTTAAGAGGGGGAAGCAGAAGCAACTTAACAGGCAGAATATGGGCTGCCAGGCATTGCAGAATGCGCTGAAATGATGTAGCAATGGTACTGCATTAGGAGGTGTTACTTTCTAAGAACTGGATAAAAGAGAATTTGAAAAAAAAATATGTCTGTAGCTGACTAACAAATGCACCTTGTAGGACTGAATTATCTGATAATGTTTCCTGTTTGTGAAAGAAAAAGAACACCACTGCAGAAAAGATGTAGGGAGAGGCTTGTGGTACTACAGGCAAGGAAGGTGACGGGTATTCATTTTGGTGATACTGAAATGCCCTTTTAACATTAACTTGAGAAATATCTGGACTCTTTCAGATTGGCCATATTGATGGAGATCCCAGTCGGAAAGGAGCTTTCCCTGTATCATTTGTGCACTTTATTGTTGATTAATTGCTACTGATAAGTGGAGACATTTCTCATTTCCAGCGGTCACAGAAATAAGTTTTGCTCTATTTCATTTCATCTACCTATCTGCAGACAGCTTGCCAGAGCACTGCCCAAGTCCTAGGTACTGTAGCTTACTTTTTTATTGCCATCGTTCTGATTTTGGGACTTTTAAAACTTTTTTTCTATGTGAAAACTTCTCATGAGCAGTTTACACTTTTTTAAAAAAACAACTCTTCCTGTATTTTTCAAGGTGAACTGAAAAGCTTTAACGATCGAAATCCATGTAAGTGTGTGAACATCACAACATTATGAATGTTCTTTCCAATCAATTCACTGCCATTTTATTCTCTCTTTTGTAACATGGCAATACCACAGTTCAGTGTTGCTTCCCCAGTCAAAGAAATTGTGTGCATCTAACAGGGCAGTGAATCTATCCAATTCTCAATACCATTTGAAGCATTGGAACCAAACCAGGCAAGCTGCTGCGGAGTTCTAAATCGGACTCATTCAGCATCTTGCCATACTGGCTGTCATCCAGGATGTCAGCTATTACAAAAGAAACAATCTTAATCGGGTGTCTTTGGCCAGGTAAAAGTGCAAAAAGTATTTCAGTTTACCACAGGAGAAACTTCTTTCTTTGAGAATGGATGTAGATATTTGCTTAAAGTTACCTGAAATCTGTGTTAGTCGTTGAACTTTCTAGTTCTAATTTTGTGAGCTTGAGACTGTTTCATTTTTCTATGCTGCACGTGTGTAGAACCTGTTTTTTGAATGTTCTTTATGTATGTTACATCCATTTTGGTCATTTAATGTGACTACTGCTGGTTAACTAAACTATGGCAATATTAACGAGTTACTACATTAACTCAAAGATATGAAAACTGCACTTCCTGAAATGTACTTAACTATGATGATGGATTGCAGAGCATTTCTTACACTTGTCTCATTATAGTGTTTAGACTTTGTTTTTAAATTCTTGAATTTTCTTAAATCATCCAGCAATGTGTTCACGGAGAGAACATATTTGGTGGAACACTTAGGTAGTTATCCTTGGTCAATAAGGTATCTGACACCTCACAAGTACACTATGTTATGTTCTGGTTTATAAAATTTGCGTGCCACTACCTTGCAAACAATGATAGTTTGCGAATTCACTCTGTATTTATATAATATACCCACAAATATGGTAGCTACACTGTTGTTAAATTTGTTTTACTAATTTGTGAACAAAGGCTAGGCCATGGATGGTTCCCAGTTGGTTGATGGAATACAAACCACCAATACAAATCTGACGTCATTTTGACGTTTGTATATTGTGAAGTTGTACCAGTTTTTTGTTTATGCTACAGGAAACAACTGATGGCATAGGAGAAGAAAAATCAATGTCTAGGTCACATTGGCTTTGATCACGTTTCGTGAATATTGTATCTCTAGATTTATCAAGAGAACTTTGAATTTCTGACAAATGGTGTTTAAATTGGCCATTTCATGTAGAACGGAATGGAAAATAGGCCACCACCACATATGCTTATTTGGAGGAAAATCACATTGCGTTCGTGCTGGAAGAGCAACACTGATCTTACCTTGTATCGCCTTTCCCAGATGGTACAGCTGGTTGACAGCCTCTCTCCAATGTGTGGGTACAGCCAAGTACACGCATCACTTTCATTTCCTAGATGCTGTTGCTGCAGTATAAATGGGGAACAAACTGGAATGTTTCAAGATATTTTTGTTGCAAGTTGAAGCAAATTAGTCCGTATTTTCAAAGTTCCCAGTAAAATGATAGAGTAATAGTTTAGCACTACAGTTTTATTCACTTACTGATATGTTCAGTTTGCAACACTATTTTGTATGTTTCTATCCCTGATAGAGTCTAGAGAGTAAATGGGCATATTATTTTGCACAGATCTCCTAATGTACAGTATTTTTAACACAGAATCTTATAGTGTATGTAACAACTCGTAAAGTTAAACAATTATGCAAATTTTCCTTGAGTTCTGCTAGAAGAGGAATACACTCTCAAATGTCACAACCTCATTCACCGATTACTTAAAAACTAGGAAACTTGTAGAATACAACTTAGTAGCACTAACAGTGCACACAGATACAATCTTGAGGACCAATGAAGAGCAGCTAAGCAAAATTTATCCCTAGATTTTCCATGTTTCTCAAAGTTTGCTCCTCTGGCAGAGGAAAAAGAGATTCTAGAGCCTGTAGATATCTATTTATAATATAAAATTAAGAATTTTAAGTCCAAAATTTTGGCGTATTTCATACAGCTTTTCAAATCTGATGAAAATAATGATTCAGAAGACCTGTTAATAGACAGACTATTAGGTTGCTGTGTTAACTGTTTAAAAAGGAGCAAGTGACACTTAAAATGCAGCTTAGAATGCTATGAGATGTATAATATTCAATTCAGTTGTTTTTATTTTGTTTAGTTGCAGAGCAACTGTATATATTGTATAACCTAAAATCAACTCTTATTTTCAATGTCCTGGATGCAGTGATTTATAATTAGAGCATGATTAATAAATTTTACTCTTGTTAACCAGTCAAATGTCTGGAAAAATAAAACTACTTTTAAAATCACTTTGACTACTTCTCTTCTGTTACTCTGCATTGCTTAGGCAATATTCTTCTTTTCAATGCATACAATGAGAAATATGAACAAGTAGCACTTGAGCAAGAAAATGTGAGTCTTGTGGATTTTTAGTTGCACGTAGAAATTGTGTAGATAGCACACCTAAGATTAAATTAGAGGTGTAAAGCACCAAACGACTATCTATTCTCACTTTGCTCTTGTTTTGTTCTAATATCTGTTAAGCAGAACTGAAGTCTATATTAAGAAATTGTTTTTCAGACAAAGAGATAGAAGCAAGTGTCAGTTTTATTTTACATTTCTACAATATTGACATTAACATACAAAACACAATTTAGGAAAAAAAAGTCACGTTAAATATAAAATTCTGTATTGTCCTGGAAACTGAAGATGGAAAAACTTCTTCAAGTCATGTTTGGGGAATGACAAAGTACCGTGTGCAAGGTTGTATGGCTCTTCTTTGCACAGCAAATCTTTTCTAGGTTTGTGTGTAGCTACAGCCAGTCTGTGGTATCACAAAGGAGCCCCATTTCCTCCTCGCACAAAGGCCTCTTGTACTACACCATCACATGCTGCTGCAGAAAATCAGGACTTCTCCGACATTAAAACTGAATCAAAGGCTGTAGATAACACTTTGCAAATAGCTTGTGCTTGTTCCTAAAACAAACCACACATGCATATTAACACTTTCTGAAGAACTTCTGAACATCTCAAAACTCATTTAAAGCAGAATGTGACCTTTATCATTCTTTTGGCGGAGACATGCAAAATGGAGTAGCACAAGTGAGATTTAATTTAGTTTCTGTGGTCTGCAATGACATGTGGGGAAGCTGTTTTAAATAAGCTCTTTTGAAACAAGTCAGAGTTGTTAGCTTTCATCATAGCAGGACGCTAGCATTCAGGAAGCCAGTACGTGTGTTCCCCCAGTGCTGCTAAGGGTGTGTATCGTATCATAGTATCTTGCCAGTGAATTCTCCTACTCTTAAGAGGAGATCACTTCCCTTGCTTATAAATATGAATGCATGCTCGATTACCAGACTTGTTGCTCGTTCTCTCCCTGCTCTGTCCAGTCTTAAAGAGGTTTTTGTCTTTGAAAATAAAGAGGATTGTTCTTAGCAGCTACAACAGCACTCTTCAGATTGCGAAGAGCTATCTTAGGCATGTACATTCCTTGGCAATTTTAGGGAATGTAGGTATTTCTCCTCAAAACTGATCAAATGCAGTCAGCAGGGCTTTTCTCCCCTCTTCAGCCAGGCCATATTTATACTCCTTTTTTAATTGAGCAATCCCCCTTCTGCCAAAAAGTCTTCATGAGGGCCTTGGGGTTTAGAATCTCCCTTTACAATCGAAATACCGATACCTAAATTAAATACTGTAAACATAAACTCTTACCAAACTATTGCACTGATATACCCAGAGGCTGCATTCTTCAGAGGCTGCATCTGTTGTCTTCAAAGCCAGTAAACTTTTTCCTGCTCCCAGACCATCATCATAGCAGACCATCCGTACAATTAAATAGAGAGCATGCCTATGCAACACATCCTGAAACCACGTGGCAAATAAAAGTTACTCTGGAACAGTGCAACAGCTATTTCAGTTTTCTACCCGTTTTGATTCTCTCTCTTACAAAAGAATACTTCAGATTTATTTACAGGAGAAAAGTATTCCTTGGTAAAATTATAATTGTTTAACTAAGAGTTTGGGCAAGATTTTTTAAAAAAAAAAGTGGATGTTTAACACAATTTTAGCTTTAAATTTTTGCTTCTATTTTAGAATTGCATTCTTACGTGGACTATATTCCTGAGCATACTGTAAAAGCACACATTTGTTTCCCACCTATCCTCACTCGCCCTCTGTGGCGCTGAGGTAACTTAAAACAACTTTTTACTTTTCCAGTGTTTTTCCAGACAATCCCGTCTCAGTTCCAGGAAGGGTAAACACGAGAAACTTCCCGGGAGAGGGTATGGACAAGGTTTTGAAGTGGGGTGGAGGGAGGGCAGCCATGCAGATATAGCCAGGCCACGTGTGGCCTGAGCCACAGCATGGGTCCTGGCTCTTGCGAAGATCCAGTCTGGGAGACTTCTACTCTCCACTGCAGTTGCAGGGTTTCCCCATAGTCCCAACGGGTTTGAGCTTGGCCATTCCAAAAAGGGACCGGTTGATGTCATCCAGTACAAGATGTCTGCAGACCTACCCTACACAAAGCCTTTCTTCTCAAGCAATCCTACCCAAACGATAATACTCATCTGCTTTTTTCCAGTCATACCACCTCTAGGGTCTTAGAACTTCAAGACAGCTCTTTTTCTACGTTCATGGCATCAGTAGCTGAAGAGTGTAAAGAAACGTCCACTTTGATACAGAAGTTGTAAAAAGGGACAGACAGTGAGCTGAATGCCAGCTCCAAAACCCTCGAGGGAGAGCCCTCTACCACAGCTCCTAAGATCACCTTGCTGAAAAACATCTCCATCCCTGACATTCCCTCGGCAAGAGCTCACGCTTATTCACACCACCATCACCAACTATCATACCACGCTGCAGGCAGCTGGAAATGACCTGGAATTTACTGGATCAACCCTCCAGTCTCATGAAAGATGCCAAAATTTGCCTCTAAATTATTTGTAACTTTTTAGAGTTACTTGCTTGGAATTTGGTATAGTGCTAACGTGCATGTGGATTATTAGTAAAAGAAGGAGGACTGAATAAAGCATTCAGTCCCCCTGTAAATTCATTTCCTCCCCTCCTTCCAGTATTTGGCTATGAGGGTATTCTGCAGTTGAGGGAGAAATGAGATGTTGGATGGACAAATTATGCCACATGTGTATGTACATATATATAATGTACAAATAGATGCAAATGGAATGTGAAGAAGGCCAAAGCCTCAGTGTGACTTTTATAAATACTTCATCTTCAGTTTCTAGTGTTTGCATCTACAAACAATGGAAATGTATCAGTGAAATTATGTATCTGTACATATTTCAGTCACTAATTAAATAATTTCTCAAATGTTGGCTGAAATCCATGAGGAAAAAATTTGTATTTTGACCTTCAATCAGTTCTTTTTTTGGCATCTGATGTAAATAGCTGCCTAGGTATCTACACATCACAGAACTCCCACCTTTCCCCCAAAGTCATAAAAGACCGAATTCTTTGTATGAATACAGAGAAAACTTTTCCATCTTGGAACTCTATGAAAGAGTTAGGTGGACTAAAACACTAAAGGACAAATTGCACGTCAACAGTGACACAGATGCAAAAAGACAGAATTTGGGAAACAGAATGCAATGCAATAAAATGCCAGTGCAAGCCAGCTTAATCACAGAAGGCTTTATCAGCTTGTGCATGCTTTCAGCTTGAAGCCAGAAGAATGATGGATAAAAGTCTTAAAATTACCTATTTGATCTTTATCAAAGTACAAAGGAATTTAAATAATAGTGTAACCTACGTTCTTAATGAGAATTAAGAATTTAGGAGGACGGAAAAATTAGAACGCAAAAGAATTCAAAGTTTGAGTAACAACTACTACACTTCTTCCCAGGCACTAGAAACAAGTGTTTTATTTTCTGAAGGGACCAAAGGAAACTTTTTGGCTCTCTTCAGAGAGTTCAGCTATTGAGCAACGCTATTCACCATCCTCATACTTGAGGCTTTTATGAACAGGCATTGCTGGGTTGTTGATGGGTCATGACTTCATGAGGCCAAGTATTTATGGTATCTGGGGCTCTGAGGGCAACCAGAAGGAAACCACATGGCTGCAATACAAAGCTATACAAAGGCAGCTGGAGGGCCCTAGGGAAGAGACCGGATTTTTATTTTTAGCGAAAAAGCTACTTGAAGTGTGCTAAAGGAAAATAAACTACATGTAGGAAATGATGCAAGAGAAAAATAGGTTTGATCAATAAGATGGAATCACGAGGCTTTAACACTGGAGTGAACTCACACACTTGGATTAAGAGCGCGAGGCTGGACCTTCAAAGGGGAAGACAACTTGGGTATACTGGAAAAACACATCCTTTGTTTCTTCCTCTCCACAATAACATCAACAGGAGTTGTACTACTAACTCAGGCTGAGGAACCTATGGTCTTGGCCACCGCAGTCATGCTACTTTTCCACCTGAGAGGATGGCAGGAGAGCCACAGGGAAAGGAAGATGTGCCCAAAGAGCATAAAGGCTTGCTTGCCTTTTGTCTGGTTCTCTGTCTCAAAGGGAATGGATTTTTGTCATAAATCCAACCAGAAAACTTTTTTGTTTGTTGGTTTGTTTGACTTTTCCTTAAAGCCAGAAGTGACATTTTGGTCACACAGATCATCTATCAGGGAAATAAATGAAAGCACTTCCCAACTCTCACCAAAAAGAGTTATTTGTGAATCACTTACATACTGATCAGATGTTGAAACTTTAATGCCGTATTTGGAAACTCCCATAATAAACTCCTCTTCACCTGGAACAAAAGGTAACTTTCCATCTTGCTTTGGAGGGAAACAAACAAAAGCCTTTAGTGCAGACAGAAGAACATGAACAATGGAGATACATAATAGAAAATGTGGGATTGTGTACTTCAGTCCCCTGGATCAGCAACGTCACTAACCCTGCTCATACCTTGCTGTGTGGAATCTGCCTGCCACTCTTGCACTCATCCAGTCCCTTAACTTTATGTGCAATATATTCAGGAGAGGTTTCAACTGGACATCTGGCAGCATTTCTTTACTGAGAGGGTGGTCAAAAACTAGAACAGGCTTCCCAGGGAGGTGGTCAATGGCCCAAGCCTGTCAGTGTTTAAGAGGCATTTTGACAATGCCCTTAACCACATGCTTTAACTTTTGGTCAGCCCTGAAGTGGTCAGGCAGCTGGACTAGATGATCGTTGTAGGTCCCTTCTAATGGAAATTCTTTTCTTTTCTTTTCTTTTCTATTCATTACATCATTCAAGAAAGAAATTTATCATCTCAGAGCGGAGTTTGGCCCTATGGTCAGATCAGACGGGCTGAAAAATAATGCACAGCCAGCCCATCATGCTGCACTGACCCTGAATGATCTATGTTCCACACCGGCAGCAAATTGTTATTTGGCTGTAAAAATAGTTTTAGCATACATTCAGATACTTGAAATGTCAAGTTGCTGTAAGATAAACAGGCATTCTGTGCTTTTAAAGATACAAACGATCAGCTACCTAATGAGAGTAACTAGTTACAGCTTTGAGTAAAAAAATAAGTACAAGAAACCACAGTTTGGCAAGGATGACCCAAATATTATTCAGATTCTTTGGTCACAGGTTTGTAAGTGATCGTAAGCAGAAACTTGACATTTTCCTCTACAGATAAACTTCTATACTACTGAGGAAATCTGGAGGAGATATTCTTTCACAGACATTAATCCTAGTAGTGCTGACGACAATATAACAACTTTCATTTGGGATACTTGTTCAGTAATGACTCATGAAAAGGGCCTTCGCTCTGAGCCTACTTCTTCAGAACAGCTTTTTGGGTGCATCTTCTCCAGTTACTCAACAGGATGGAATTGAGTGTGACACCTTTTGAGATTCATAGCTTACTTTTTTTTAAAGTAAGCGACTTTATTCTAGTAAGTCTAAAATTTACAAAGAAAGATGTCAGATCACATGATAATATTAAAGAAATACACCTAAGCTTAAGTTGTTCTGACATTGTTGGTATTGTCTTTTGTAACCCACTTACCTGTGCAACATCTATGTAATTTATCAAGTCCAATGGCCCTTCGAGATTTTTGCTCTCATTATACTTCAATTTTTCAATGGCACCAACATATTTAACTCTGAATTCTGCACACGTATCAGAATTACTATTGCTTTGTCCTGCAACAGAATAAAACAAGCAATTCTGAAGAATTCCAGAACAGTAATGCTATTCTAATTGCTGTTAATGGGGCTAACTTATTAAATTCTGTAATTTTTGCAGACTTTCATCAAACACTTAACCTTACCCACAGTATATTAATTCTTCTCTTTAATGAACTGTTCTGGGTTGATTCAGGACAGCCCTTGATAAAGTCAAGAGTTTCACATAAATCCATGATACAGCATTGTTTATACTAATTCAAATTTGGAGTTAATAACTTTAAACAAGAAAACATAAAAAAGCTGTATAAAATACATATAAAAAATACATTTTTTTTTTTTAAGTTAACTGCTTGTTCCAACAGTGATGCGCTGTGATCTGGTGAGCAAGAACAAGTAAAATCCAATCTTATTTCCATTATTTCAGTGCAATCATAAACTTATAAAAGCAGGAAAGATAGCTTCCAAAAAGTTATACAAGATTTACGCCGTGTAACAGACTGGTAACACAACTAAGTTTTTCTTACTCAGACACATTACTTCGAAAACAGTGACTTAATCCTAGACGAATCATTAAGAACACTTTAGAGGCCTAGAGCTATGCATGCATTAGTCAACAGGCTACCTAACAGATTCACCCACAATTACTAAAAATACATATTTTAACCTTTTCCATTTTCTATTTATATAAACACACATAAAGTCAATCCTGCTCCATACATACCCGCTTGAACTCTGATTACATACCTGAACTTTTCGTGGAGTCTGTATCTAGACTAGCCACAGTACTAGACCTGGAAAGTCCTCCAAGACTGGAGTCTACAGACTAAGAAAAAAAAATAGTATGATCAGAAAGTTACTAAGAATTTATTAACAAATCACTTTTAGATGCCCTGCCTCAACTCCTTTTTTAAAATAAACTAGTGTTTATGTTCTAATTACTTAAGCAGCACTGCAAAATGGGGATCAAAAACCAACACCTATTTCTTTCCTGAAGTTATCTGTCTGCCTCAATGTAGATTAGACTGATATCAATTCAGCAGGTACCCTTGAGAAGTCCACAAATCTTTTGAAAGAAGGAGGAAATAAAAGAAAAAGAGAAAATGAACCTTAAAGTTATGTCCAGACTTTTCTGGTACTGCATCTTAACTTGAAGAAATTGACAACTACATGCTTGTCACCAATGCTTGAAATAACATAGCAGTGCAAGGGAAGTGAAACGGCACCTTGGAAAATCCAGAATATTCAACTGATCATTCCAAAACCTATCAGACAAAATGGACACATTATTCAAAATGAAGAATAATTTTTCGAGATACTGAGTAACCAACTAGTACTGAAGAACAAACTCATTCTTGGTACCTAGCACCAGGCACCTTCTTAAAGACAATATTTATCACTACAGAACAAATGTACTACTCTTTCCTCCAAACTGTAGTATTGTGCTGCCAGAAGCTCTTGTGTTTGTGGGCTTCGCTATGGAAGCAATCGAGCATTTGTCTCAGAACACAAGGGCGTTATAGTGGATTGTTTTGTTTTGTTTTGTTTTTTTAATTCTCATAACCCAATCTGAGGAATAGTAGAAGTAGAAAGTTCTCCTTGTGGAACATGGCATTTTAAGGAAATCACATCCTACCATCACTGCAAGCGAATCGCTGAACTGTCAACTTGTAACAAACAAAAGTACTTCCATAAGCAGAAAATATACTAAATTCAGCTTACCTTGCTTTTAGTACTGATTTCACTGCTTTGTGAGCTGCTGCTGCTGTGTCGCTTTTTTCCTTTTCTAAACATTTTTTCATAATTGGATCAAAGAAAATCTTCTAGGTAGGAAAAATAAAAATGGAAGCTGTCATATCATCAAGGGAAGGAATTCCTAGCAAACACCACAGTGACTACATCCAAAATGGACAAAAATTGGAAAATAGTAAGCTAGTGACTCTAAGAACAGAAGTAGGAATGTTCCTCTGGTGCTCTTCATATGTGATTGGGGAAAAGTCCCTCAAGCTCTCTGCTACAACTTCCCTATCCTTCTGATTCATCAAAAAAAATGTTGCTACCTAGTTTACAGACTGATGCAAAAGTCAGTTTCTAATGCACATAATGATACAGATTTAGAAACAAGACAAAATTTGAAATTTATATTCCCACTTAAAAGCATTAAATTATTTTTATTTATAACAACAATTTAAGTGCCCTACAAAAGTGCATCCAATGCAAGCCCTGCTCCAAAGACTATGCTCCCATTAAAAAACAAAACCAAAAAACCTGCTTCTGAAGAACTACTGATTGTAGTACTTCTAGGAGCAGCCATTACTGCTTACATGTTCCTGAAAATTAAAGCAAGAAGCAGGTTATATTTACTGCCTTAGAGCTGAGTTACTGGGAGTTCTAAGAGTCTTCCAGAAGCATTTTTCCTGTATCTGCCCGACTAGTTCAATCGCTTCACTTAAGATTTGGCCAGCCAGTGTAAAGAAGCAGGATGCTGGCTCCCAGCCAGGGGGTGCTGAAACCCTGTCTCCCAGCTGCAGAGACGACTATTTTAATTACAAAGCTTCCGAAAATTTGAGCAGGTGGAAGACAGAGGACAAAGGAGGAAGGCAGCCTATCAGAGATAGCTCACTCTGCAGCAAATAATGGAAGATGCACAAAGAGGAGCTTAGATCTGTGATGCAGCGTTGGATTACACTCCCCAGACTGCTGCTGTGTTTGCCATTAAGCAAACCCATTCCCTGGCAGACCAAAAGCCACCCTCAGCGATAAATGGTGCAGCAAGGCGCCGCGGTACCCAGCACACCCACCTCCCTCGGGGCTCCTTCCAGCCACCAGCATGGATCCGGCAGCCCCTCCTTCAGAGCAGCAGCAGCTACAACACAGGCAAATTTCCCGATTCTGCCGGTAGTCTCTGAGAAAAGCACAACATAATATACGCTACTTCACAACCTTTTTTAATACATTAGATGATTAAAGAGCTCGTAGCAGCTCCTTGCTTAACACACGCCTTTCCTGCGGCGCATCTTTTCCACTACGGATGCAGGAACCATCGGGTCCTGCCTCATTCGGGGCGCTGCGGCGGGGTGAGGCGGGGGG